ACAGGCTAGAATCTAAGATATGTCTAACTCAGTGAGTACCAACAAACATTACTGGAATGCAATAAACAGAAACTCCCTACACCCTAGAGAGAGGATGCGGATGAAAGTTTCAAAACTAGGACATGAAAGGAAGTTAAAAGAGATTTACCAACAGTCGGACGTCTGTTGCATATTGCTGTTTACAACTATTCTCCTCGCTGGCAGGGTGTTATTGATTGAGCTGTCTCCCCCAAAAAGGTGTTGAAGCCCTAACCCCCTGGTGCCTCTGGTTGGGATTTATTTGGAAATAGGGTCTTTGTTGATGATCAAATTGAGATGAGGTCATTAGGGTGGGCACCAGTCCAACATAACTGTTGTCCATACAGAAAGCGAGGACTAGGGCCAAGACAGACGAGCACAGAGGGAAGATGATGTGAAGACACAGGGAAAAGGCAGTTGATAAGCCAAGGAATGTCCGATGCTGCCAGCACATAGCGGTAGGGACCAGATTCTCCCTCACAGCCCTCAGTAGAAAAAAACCCTGCCAACACCTTGATTTCAGACTCCGAGCCTCTGGGACTGGGAAATAACACACGTGTGTTATTTAAACCACCCAGTTTGTGGTACTTTTGTTACAGCAGTTCTAGAAAAGGAATCTACAGGGGCAGACTGCTTTAAATGATCAACTATAATAAGCACACTGACTTCTAAAGCCTGTTTTGCAGTGGCCGTTTAAGTTTGCAATGCCTCACCTTCATCAGACCTTCTCTTGCAGGATCAGAGGTTCTCAGCGCATCTTTGGTGGCCCACCAGGACACCTTCATGTAAACAGCCATGACTAAGGAGAAAGCCAAGAGAAACCAATGATGTGCACAGGGCCAACTGGCCACCCGAGGGGCAGGGTTAGCGCATGCAGCAACTGTCAAGGTGCAGAGGAAGTTTACATGTGGGAAAAGCAGGTGATATTTCTAGAGCTGAATTATCTGAAAGCCAGGATAGAGTGATCCCTCTCACCTAAAAGGACGTCACAGGTGCCTGCATGGATGGCCCGTAGTTGATTTCAACACAGGATGTACCCCAAAGCTGTTGGGCACAAAAGGCTACACACCAACACTGACAAATTCAATGCGTGAGAATTGCATTTTTTCCAGTGTCCAATTATGTGACACAACTTGGAACGCCGAAATTTTAGTCAAACCCAACATTATCTAAGGGCATCGAACAAACCGTCTTCTCACCACCCTTGGGGCTGGGCTGGGCGCTGGCTTCTTTCACCTGCTTGTCTTCCATTCTCACAATGAAAACTGTCACCTGCATTTTTCTGAGGATGCTGACACTCTGAGAGGTGAAAGCAAGCAGCTAGGAGGGCTGAGGTCAGGTCCAGTTCTCAGCTACTGGACTCCACGTTCAGTGCTCTTTCCAAGAGGCCCGAGATGGGCCAGCTGTTAGGAATGGGGCAAGTCAGGCAGGGGCGGTGGGGAGTCTTTGGATAAGAAGGGTCTGGGGCTGGGACCTGCTGGAGAGGAAGGGTGGAGATCTCCACCCCAATTCGCACCCCGCTGAGGCCCATTGATCCTGCCCACTCCGTGTTTGGACACAGGCCCTGCTGCTTAGTAGAGGTGACCCTGGAACACTTCAACCTCACCAAGCTCCAGATGCCTCATCACAGTCCAGCACAGTCCTGGCACGTAAGACGCACTCATCATCTGTTCATTAACGTGTCAGTTCTCCTACGCTCGTGGTGCCGCAATCTCCAGGTCCCATCACTCCACCTGCTGCCTCGGGATGGTATCCACGCCCTCCTCCCAAACCCTGGGTGCCAGCTGGTCCCAGCCACCTTCATCTCTACCGGTGACCGGACAGCACCCCGCCCAGCCCCCTGCCCCAGCCTCCCCGCCAGTCCATCCCTACGAAGTGGATGCTCCAAAGGCAAACCCAATCACGGCCTCCGCCTCTTGTCTCTCAGCTGGGCAACCCTCCTTTCTTGCTTGAGAATTACATTTTCAACACAAAAGTGACTTTGGTTGTTTTCTGGTAACTTTTTTTTCCTTAATTAAGACTATTTTTAGAGAAGTTTTAGGTTCACAGCAAAATTGACAGGAAGGTACAGAGATTTTCCAGATTCCCTCTTCCCTCCGCCACACACAGAGCCTCCCCCGTTCCCAACATCCCCCATCAGTGGGGTACGCCTGGACCCACACTGACA